TTCCTACCACCATTCTCATCATATTTTGCCACCAATAGATTATCTTTCTTTTGTTAGTCCTTCATTGGCTTAAGAACTCCAAGAACAAACTTAAAGCTTCCAAATTTGAAAACCCTAAGATGATCTCAATGCCAATTTTTCCTTTTTGTTTTCTTTAAATTTTGCTATAAACTTTTATCTTTTTGTGTATTGCATTGAATCTTGCTAAATGATTGCTTTTGAATTTTTTTGTTGCTTATTGTTGATTGTGTATGATGTTGGTTGTGAAATTGTGGTTTTTTTTTATGATTATTGTTCTTTGATTTTCCATTATGGCTAAGATTGAGGTTGTTTTTATGGGCCTTAGTTCTTGTTGTTCTATAGACATCTCATTTTATTAGAGATATTTCGATTATTTTCATTTTTTGAGTCTTGAAAGTTCATTAGTAAATTTGAGTTTTAATTGGGTTTTGTACTAGCCCATTTAAACCTGAACTTGCTATTTTAGTTTTGGATTTGGTTTGGGTATTAAACAAGTTAAGTGTTTTATTCATTTTTTAAAAAATTAGGAAAAAAATCAAAAAAAAAAAAGTTTAGGTAGACTGAATTTGTTTAGGATTGGAGTTCTTTCCGATTAAAAAGTTTTTGGTTGAAATCAAAGTCAAAGTTTGAACTAAAATATATTTGAAACCTTTTTGATCAAGAATTTGTTTTGAGTTGGGATTGATTCTTTATAAAAAAAAAAAAACTAGAAACACAATAATCAAAGAGGAGAGAAAAATAATCCATTCAATTTGGCAGTCGTACAATACCAGGCAAAAAATCCCTACATGCCCAATTTCTAACAACAAGATTCCACGATTGCATAAACACCCAATTTCAACCATACATAGCCATTGTCCAAAAAACCACAACCAAGCCCGAACTCAGCAATACAGATAAACCATAATCAATAAACCTAGAAAAAAAAGTCAATCAAAAAGATATATTTCAAAAAAGGCTTTTTGGTAATAGTTTGAGGTTTTTTAAGTTTCCTTTTTGGAGATTCTTGGTCAAGTAGAAAAGGTGTATAACTTTGTTGGTGGTTCTAAAGTTTTAAGCAATGGCTAAAGATTTCTTTGAGAAATTGTTTTTAGTGGAGCAATTCTTGGGTTTAGTTTAAATCTAGGCTTGACAATATAATTTTAGAGAACTTAGATTCAAAAAGGGAATAAGAGGTGTCAAGAATTTTTTTTGAAGTTTTTGGGCAAAAATTGACACTAGAGACCATTGGCAAGTGGCTATGACGTGACAAAGCATCGCTAGGTTTTGAAAATTTCAAAAAACATAGTGGTTGGTGTTCTTAGTTCTTGAGTTTTTTAGGTTTTAGTAAGAAAATCTAAAAAAAGATAAAAGTAAAGTTTTAGTTAAAGTGAGAAAGAGATTGAAAAAAATGAAGAGAAGAGAAAATTTTGGCTTTTATAGGAAACAAAATGCGCATATCATTGAAGCCAGGAAGACCTATGTATTTTACCTGTCCCGATCTAGTATCCATGTTATTAACCAAAAGCCAAGCAATTTGTTGAGTTGAATAGCTAAATCATCAAGCTGTATTATGATTTTTGAGTTTGGAGTTGAGTCGTCTTGTTGAGCCAAGTTGAGATATTTTTTTATTTTTTTGTATTTTATTTATTTATTTATTTAAATTAAGTATTTTTAATTAAAAATTTTAAAATTAAATTATTGAAATCCTACCAAATATTAGAGTATATGGGTTTAAATTTTTTTTTGAAATTATGAATCTTACCAAATTATTAGAGGATTTAAATCTTAAAATTAATTTTACCAAACTATTGAAGATTTTATTAATTTTAAAAATAATAAATTTTTGGAAATTTTAACTAATCAAAAAGATAGAGCCTCTTCAGAAAGTGACAGTAGTCTCCTTATTATTCTTGAAGTGAAGAAACATTCTTAAATTGCTACCAAAATATTGGAATAATTTTAAGAATAATTTTCAAAATTAAATTATTTGGTAAAAATTTTTAAGATGTTTTAAGCTTTTGGATAATATGAAAACTAGTTGAAATTGTATTTTTTATGGGTGTTGCAGGGTTACTATAACCTTTCCACACTAATCATCCTTTCAAACTTTGTTCCATTTCATGGATTAGAATTTATTCTTTTTAAAGAACTTGCATCAAGTTTAGGACCTTATTAAGAAGAATAGATTTAATTAGGTGGCTACATCTAAATAAAAAAGATTGGTGGTGACTCCTAAAGTTTTGTTTAATGATTAACTTCATAGACTTGAATGTTGTGATAGGTTACATTTAGATTTTGGTCTTAAAAGGGATTTAATCCCAACAAGAATTATGATTTTGAAAGAATTTCAACCTTAAGGAATTTTGTTCTTTCCACCATTTTTATTTTTTATTTTTCTTTGATTTTTAAAGTAACAATAAAATAAATAAAGAGGTAAAATAAAAAAATGAAAAATAAAAATGGACCAAACATTTGGATTAGGTCCAAAATCAAGTCGTAGGTCTAATTAACCTAGAAAAACCCAAAACAAATTTTAAAAGCCCAAATTGAAAAATATAAAAGTAAACTTCTGAACTCGAAGATATTCTAAAATACTTCAGACAAAATAAAGTGCCTCTATGAGGTGTTTATTAAGAATGAGATATTAGTAAATAATCTTTGGTCGGAGGAACTGTTACGTAGTACCAACTCTTATTAAATGGATGAAACTTTATTGCAAAAAATTCTCTAAACAAGCCTATGGTCAAAATAAGGCTTAACTATTCACACACTATTATGAAACCTAGAATGTCAGGCATTAGGGGTGAGCTGAAAATATTCAAATTGTAAGAAAGAAGTAACTCTACAATGAAAAAAATAAAAGGGAAGCTTAGCCAAACTGGTACGGAATCTTAATAAACCTAAAGTTTATTTTCATCGTTTAGGTCTATTAGTCTATCATCAACACTAGGGTCGTATACTTTCAATGTATCAAAGATGTCATACCAGGTATGGATGGCGATTACATAAAAAGATGTACAGAGGATGGGATATCTTTTAAGGAGTTACCTTCCCTTTAAGAGTTTTCATAACCTCTTCAGGGGTAAAACCAAGCTTGCATCGAATATATAATTGGATGGGAGTATGTATAAAAACTGAAGGAACTACCTACTCGACTTTAGTTTTGGCATCAACTTGTTCAACTTTAGCCTATTTTATAGCACATTTTTCTTTAGCTTGCTCAATCTTAAAAAAAAAAGATTCAAAGTTAGAACTAATATTAGACTTAGTGTCTAAATAAGAATGATGGTGTAACAAGAGGTACAAGGTTAAAAGAAACAGAGCTAGAATGTGAGGTAAGGCCAAAAGAGGGGATAAAGTTAGATGATGGAATAGAAAAGACAAAAAAAATCTATCTTAAAAAGGGAAGAGGCATTAAAGTTGGCATATAATTTAGCCAAAAGCTCATCTATACCATGGGTAGCCCTTTTCCTCCCGACCTTGTACATTCTCGATAACTTACTCTTGGCCTTTTTGAGATAGTGGGTTCAACCAAAATGTAGCTCGAAACTAATCTTTGCATGCAATCACGAAAGAAACTTTGTCATTCATGAATAGGTCTATCTTATTCAATGGATTGAACTTAGTGTTGCTCTTAAATTCTATCTTAAAGGGAGCCAAAAGTGAATACGAACTATTTGAAGTAGATAACTTAAAAATGGACAAGTATAACATATCAAAAAGGTTGAAGAAAGAAGTTAAGTAAGATCAACGAAGTAGCTCGAATGGACAATAAATGAAATTACTTGGATTAAGAACAAAAATGAAGGGAATATTTGAAGAATGGATGGAAAAGTGACTAAATGAAAACATGGTTTGAGGTATAACATATCAAAAAGGTTGAAGAAAGAAGTTAAGTAAGATCAACGAAGTAACTCGAATGGACAATAAATGAAATTACTTGGATCGAGAACAAAAATGAAGGGCATATTTGAAGAATGGATGGAAAAGTGACTAAATGAAAACATGGTTTGAGGTATTTATAGGCAAAGAATAGATCTAATAAATAGCCTAGATTGGTATTTCTATAATTTTAGTATAAGTGGATTATAGTAAATGTTATAAGAAGAGAAATATTTTTCTATAATTATGATATGAAAGTATAATAATAAATTTAGACATGTATTAAATTCTTAACAAATATGAAGAAAGGTATTATAGTAATTTACTTGGAGATTTTTTTCATATAATGTATAGATGTGAGATATAAAAATTTATATTTAAAGAAAAGAAAATGAAGTGCATATTTGTGTTTGACTAAGTGCTTATTGAAATAACTTATATGCATAAAAATTAAAATCAATTTTAACATTTAAATTATAATTAATTAATATAATTATATAGTTTATTTTTTATTTTCATAAAATAAAATATTTAATTGATATTTTATTTTATTTGATTAAATAGATATTTGTATCAACATTTCTATTTTAGTTTTTATCTCATAATAATAATTTATTTTGTTAATGTGGATTTTTAGTATTTTTTTTATTTGAGATTTTGTGATTTTTTTTTAATTCAAAGAGGCCTTAAGGAAAATCACATAAAACTCAATATATTGTTATAGATTGTGTTTTTGATGGTTTACTTTAAAAAATAAAATTTTTTGTTCTGATGAGAAAATATAAATTAAAGTAAATAGCTTAATTTTTTTTTTCTGTTAGAGAGAATTATTTATTTATTTATTTTTAAATAATTCAACAATTGACTATAGATGAACTACGTGTTTCTCAAACTTGCCCAACATTCTGGCCCAATGACCAAACATTCTGGCCCAATGTAGTCGAACCACGTAAGTAAACATTTAATCATGTGGGTCCCATTCAGTGTGGTCCAATCTAAGCATGCCACACCATTTACGATAGACATGCAGGCATCTGATCATTCACACTCCAACAAAGATCCTGAGTGCGAGCCCACACTGATGAAAACAAATAAATAAACAAATAAATAATTTATTTATTTTGGTATTCATCATTCGTCATCATCAATCTCATCATTCACGCTTCTTCCTCTGTCTCTCTCTCTCGCATTCCTTCTCTCTGAGAGAGTTTCTTTGCATCATTGCATATTTTCTCGATTGAAACCCTAGGGTTTTGATCGATACTTTAATTTATTTTCCCTACTAAAATCGAATCGATATTACTTTATTGATCAGATCTTGACATTCCCAAGTTAAACCCTTTCACTCGATCAAATTTTGATTGGCTTTGTCTAATTTCATTGAAGAAAGAAGGAAAAATGCCGGCAGTTTACGGAGCCAGATTGACGACATTTGAGGATTCAGAGAAAGAGAGTGAATACGGTTATGTTCGTAAGGTGAATTCTCCTCATTTTATCCTTTCTTACCTTTCCTATCTCAATTTGATTTGTTTTTAACGTTGGATTGAGATTAACTGGATATATTTCGATAATTTTTATTGGATGATCTGCATTTTTAGAGTTCAACTTAGTGTAATTACTTTGATTTTTGACGTTTTAATAAGTTTTATGATTTCTTGATCTGTTTTCTTTTGAAGTAGAAGTTGAACTGATTGAGGTTTTTTTTTTTTGTTTATTCTTGATCTTCATTTTCTTTTGTTAATAGTAATTATAGTGATTTGAAATTTTTGATTAATTTTTCTAAGGATTTTATTTCTTTTTTTGAATGTAAGATGTCAATTTACTATGAGTGTTCCGATGCTTTATTTAGATGTTTCTATTTTTATTCAAATTGCTAGTCAGCCTAATAATTTTGTTGGGCTTCGCTTTCTTTTTTTCTTTCCCTTTATTTTTTGTCGTTATCTCATGCTTTGATTGCTTTGTAGTCTATGAGTGCTTAAAATACTTGATTTTCATTACTATTCATTTTGGTTTCCTGTGTAATTTGTTCTCTTTTTTTTTTTCTTCTTTTCTTATTGTTAGAGATTTGGTAATACCGAAAATTGGCTTATTTTTTCGGATTTCCAATGACTTTTTTTTGTCAAACTTTTGTTGATTCTGTTAAACCAGCGGTTTCAGTTGAATTTCTTTCATTGGTCAATGTGAGCTACAATGATTTACTTGATTTGCATGCTAAGGCTGGCTCAGAATCAACTTTTCTGTCACAATTTATCACTCAGAGTTTGTTTGAAGGAACTTGTTATTATGAATTCCTTGACTACACAAGATGAGAAGTGTCTTCTTTTTTCTTTTGTATTTATCATGTGGATATATAACTAATTGAGTAGTTGAAGAAATTGCTAGATATTCATCTTTGCTTTTGCCAGAACCAAAAAAAAAAGGAAAACAGATTATGATGCATAATTGTAATGTTTATATTTCTATTCACATCAACTTGATTTGCTTTGTCTGATTGACTACCAACCTACCAAATTAGCTAGGTTAATGCAGTCTATCTTACTTCTTTTTTCTTGTTTCTTTTTTCTTCACTTCAACTATCACATGGCAGGTGTCAGGACCAGTTGTTGTTGCAGATGGAATGGCTGGTGCTGCCATGTATGAATTAGTCCGTGTTGGACATGATAATCTTATCGGTGAAATTATTCGGTTGGAAGGAGACTCTGCTACAATCCAAGGTGTTTTATTAATGTTGACATTAATTTTTTCAGTTAAAGTTCCCTTTTATTTATGCACTTTGTTTTTTTGGAGAGAAAGTATGTAAAAAAAAAAGTACGTGTGGCTATGGTGTGGATCCTTAGCAGAAATAAGTTTCAAAATTGATAAGAATCTTCCTCTATGTTCTTATTTCAGTTTATGAAGAAACGGCTGGCTTGATGGTGAATGATCCAGTTCTGCGGACACACAAGGTGTATTATTATTATTTTTTTAAATTTAAAACTTGACTAAAACCAACACTTAAATTTCTTGACCGTTAGTTGATTGTATTTTCAAACTTATAATCATATGTTGATGTTGCAGCCTCTGTCAGTTGAGTTAGGACCAGGAATATTGGGAAATATTTTTGATGGCATTCAGGTTACCATACTTTACATGCAATTTAAATTCCTGTATTCTTATATCTCTTTCCACTGTTTATTTTATTATGAAAACTAGCTTACCACTTACCAGCTATGCCATTAATAATATTGTTGTGTACCTGTTGTTAATTGATATCCGCTCCTTTCTTTCAATGTTTTATCAATAAAGAGGCCTTTGAAAACTATTGCTAAAAGATCGGGTGATGTGTATATCCCTCGTGGAGTTTCTGTCCCCGCTCTTGACAAAGATATCCTTTGGGATTTTCAGCCTAAGAAAATAGGTACGCAGCTATTAAGATGCAACTTAAATATGTATTGGCTTGTGAGGTTGGTGTCAATACAATGTTTATTTCCTGCAGGTGAGGGGGACCTTCTAACTGGTGGAGACCTATATGCTGTAAGTTTAATGGCCTTGTGCTGTCTTTTATAGTAGTAGTTCCTTAAGTAAGCAGAAACAGAAGCAGAAGGCACTGTCAGGGTAATAGGCACCTGGATAACCTTAGGGGTGAGATACAAATGGTGCTCAGTTGAATAAGGTGCTAATCCCAGTTTTAGAGACTAGTAATGGGTTTCTAAATATGCAAAATAATCAGATTATGATTATGGTTAGAGATGAGATGAGAACATTTTAATCAGCTGTGGATTTTAAACACAAAGAAAATGAATAGGTTTTGGGTTTTGGTTTCAAAAGAAAATGAATGGAGAGGGGGAGGGGGAGGGGGAGGGAGAGGGTGGGTGATAGATTGGCTAATTGCAATTTGCTTTGATTTTGGTCTGCAAAGGTCAGCATATGGCCAATTTGTCATTCAATAAATTTGATAGAGACAAATGAAAAGGAGGCCATCATTTTATAGTTTTTATTTTTATTTTTTTGTTGAGGGCTAGGGAGCCTAAAACATGAATAATTAGAAATAATAAAAGATATATGATTTCAGTGCATTGCATCTTTTAAGGCGAAAATGCATAGACCATTTCCTTTAGAGAAGTAGGATGAAACGTAGATCACTTAATTTTATTGCTTTTAACTCTTCTGACGTCTTTAAATTGATACTTTGAAATTCAAATGTATAATTTTATTGCTTTTAACTCTTCTAAGGTCTTTAAATTGATACTTTGAAATTCAAATGCAGACTGTCTTTGAAAACAGTTTGATGCAACATCATGTTGCCCTTCCTCCTGATGCAATGGGAAAAATCACTTACATTGCCCCTCCTGGTCAATATTCATTAAAGGTTTGGCTCTTTGACTTTTATATCATGCCATTTTATATGCCTTAATGTGGTACAAAATTTTCTTTTTGCTATAATTGACCCTTTTATGTCATGACAGGATACGGTGCTGGAGCTTGAGTTTCAAGGTGTCAAAAAACAATTCACCATGCTTCAGGTTTCTTTTTTTTTTTTTTCAAGTCAATACTTTTTTCCATGATTATAGGTGACAATAGGTGGGTTGGGTTAGGGTTCAGTTTGTTGATTTTTTCTGAGTTAAATTTTTGGTTACATGTCTTGTCTGATCATCCCTTGTACCAAAAGTTGGTACTTGGCCAGGTTGAGTTGTGTTATTCAGCTTTGGATAGCTGCCTTTTTGGGCAGGTCACTTAAGTTGCGCCAATATTTTATCCAGCCATACTGTTTAATTGCTATTCACTCTTTTTAACAATTGCAATTTTTTAACTTGAAATGTGTTACACCTGTTTGCAGACATGGCCTGTACGTACACCAAGACCTGTCGCAACAAAGCTTGCTGCAGATACCCCTCTGCTTACCGGACAGGTAAGTCTTGTTGTGAGTTGTCTTCGTGGACTCTTCTTTCAAAGGATTTGATTTGCCAATGACTTTTCTATCAGCGTGTTCTTGACGCCCTATTCCCCTCAGTTCTTGGTGGAACTTGTGCTATTCCTGGTGCATTTGGCTGTGGTAAAACCGTGATTAGTCAAGCTCTTTCCAAGGTAAAGTTTGTATATATTTCTATCGAGCTTTAACTTCTTCCAATGATAGATGTTCATTGTGTTTATTTTTCTCATCATGTGCAGTACTCTAATTCTGATGCTGTTGTCTATGTCGGTTGTGGAGAGCGAGGAAACGAAATGGCTGAGGTGTTTTTTCATCTTTTATTTTGGATAGTTAATCCCTCTTGGAGGTTTTAAAGTCCTGATTGTGTATTTATTTATTTTAGGTTCTTATGGATTTCCCTCAATTGACAATGACATTGCCTGATGGTCGTGAAGAATCTGTCATGAAGCGCACAACACTTGTGGCTAACACTTCTAACATGCCCGTGGCTGCCCGTGAAGCCTCGATTTATACTGGTAAAACTATGATCTGCTAATTGTAGTAATTGCATATTGATCATTGCTTGAAGAGATTAACCTTTGGGACTGAGGTCCAATTGTTGTTTTTGGCTATTTTCTATTCCCATAATTATAATAATGAGTTTGGGGGATCTTGTTATTTTTGTTGCTTCTTTTTTAGTCTGAAAAAGATATGGGCTGCCAGTAACATTCTTTGGGTTTTCTTTTGTGGATTTGCAGGGATCACTATAGCCGAATACTTCAGAGATATGGGCTACAATGTTAGTATGATGGCAGATTCAACATCTCGTTGGGCAGAAGCATTGCGTGAAATTTCTGGACGGCTGGTAAAACTCTTCCCCAACACTAATGAAACAAACTGTCTTCTTTTCCTAATGCTTATAATTCAGGCATATTGACCAGGTCAATTGAGAATGCTTCAATTTAATCTTTTTTCCAATCTGATCATAGCTCATGGTTTAATAGTAAATTAATGATGATTCAGTGTAATTTGGGTATTTCTATATTTTTCCAGTTGTTATCTTGGTCCTCCAGCTTATAAATACTCTCAAATAAGATTTGGTGGGGAAGCGGTTTTGATTTTTTTTTTTTTTGGGATAATTTTTCATTGGCATTTTCATTCCACACTCATTTCATCATTGTTTTCAGAGCATATCTGATGATAATAGAAACCACAAGTTTTCTGCTTATCCTTTTTCCTTATTGACAGCCTTGTGATTTCCTCTTGACATTTCTTTGCTGATGGCTAATGATGTTCCTCTATATCTGAGTGCTTTTTTTGGTAAATTTATCTACTTGAAACTTTTGAAATTAGCACAAACTTTCATAAACTTTAGTACTTTGGTGCCATTATTTTTATAATTTAACATTTTATTCAATTATTTTTATTCACTTATTTTAGTAGGTAAATACTTTTTATGTTCTAATTTCACTTCATAAATGAATATTATGTGTTGTTTCAATGTCTGGTTTACTTTGGTATTCACTCTACTGGCTTCACAGCTTTCTTTCTATTAAGCTCATTTTGGCATCTGTTTTAATTTCTTGCAGGCAGAAATGCCTGCTGATAGTGGATATCCTGCTTATCTGGCAGCAAGATTAGCCTCTTTCTATGAACGTGCTGGTAAAGTTAAATGCCTTGGTGGGCCAGAACGTACTGGTAGTGTCACAATTGTTGGTGCTGTCTCTCCTCCTGGAGGAGATTTCTCCGACCCTGTGACATCTGCAACCCTCAGTATTGTCCAGGTATAAATCAAGGTCTTATACATTCCCTAGGTGCTCACCCTTTCCCAAATGCAACAGGGGAGAAGAGGGGAGAGAAAGGAAGTACCAAAAATGATAATGGAAGCAGTTCAATATTATACATTTCTTTGTAAAGATGCCAGCTGTCTTAGTTTTGCTGCTTTTTAGCTGTGTATGACTGTTAATACTTAACTATAGGAAAAAAAACTTAGTATCTTCTCATTCCTTGTTGGTTTGAATTTTAGGTTTTCTGGGGTCTTGACAAGAAACTTGCTCAGAGGAAGCATTTCCCTTCTGTCAACTGGCTTATTTCATACTCAAAATACTCAGGGGTATGTTCATAATCTGATCCCTTATAGTTTGTAATTATCCCAAAATACATTTTTCCTTTATTCTTTTCCCGAGCTGGCCTCTTCCCAAGTGATACCAGTCTTCCATATTAATTGGTAGTTTCTCTTGTGTTCCTAGGCATTGGAATCGTTCTATGAGAAGTTTGATCCAGATTTTATTAACATTAGGACAAAGGCCCGAGAGGTGCTTCAGAGGGAAGATGATCTGAATGAAATTGTTCAGGTTTGTTTCCTTATCTTGCTCAGGGTTTTTGATGAATTAGAATCTAGCTATTTTACTGTTTAAAGACAGAAGAGGGAGAACATGCGAGCTGTAAATTTTATAGGTAATTTTTTACCAAGCACTGAATCATTAGACACAGCATACTGTTGCTTTAGCTTACATGTTCCCTTTGTAATGTTATTGTTACTCTATGTAGCCTGCTGCTGCAAATTTTTTGCTTCATTTTTTTATCTCATCTCATCTCATTCAGTACTCACTGAAATTTGTATTGTTACAGCTTGTTGGGAAGGATGCTCTAGCTGAAACAGATAAGATCACTCTAGAAACCGCTAAACTTTTAAGGGAAGATTATCTTGCTCAGAATGCATTTACTCCGTAAGCTTCGGCTCTTACTATTTGATATCAGAAAATTTTCTTAGTAGCTATCTTAGTTTCATTGTCTTTGTCTTCATACGGTAATCCTTCTATGCACTTGCATTTGGGTATGTTGTGACAGATATGACAAGTTCTGCCCATTCTACAAGTCTGTTTGGATGATGCGCAACATTATTCATTTCAATAGTTTGGCCAACCAGGTAATGCGTCAGACACTCTCTGGCCCTATTTCAACTGCTGATCAATGCTACCTTATTTTCCTATAATTTCTATTATGGCCATTTTTAGCTATTTGGAAAAGCTAGGGGAAAGAGAATGGCAACTATTTTAAGTGGGTTATTACTATTCTATTTGGCTTAGAGAGAAATTATTGATGGAAATTACTTTTTTAAATTCTAAAAATCTATGTAGCTGTGGGGTAATGCTTGATTTTATGCAGAGAGGAAAACTACAATAGCAGGTTCTAGAGAAAGCGATCTACATATAGCCTTGCCTTGGCTTGCCTCTAGCTTTTTGCCCCTCTTTTGTCCTAGGCTAGGATTCTAGAAAATTAGGTCAAGCAAATGTTTTCATTGACTGATGTATGTCAAGCATGTGCCATCTTTCCTTTAGTTTTGTATATCTTAACTAGTTCGGTGTCTACACAACTTCAGTGCTGTACTTTGTTCTCCTTGTTTGTTTTTTGAGGTATGCTGTACTTTGTATCTGATTATTTTTATGTCTACCAATTGGAGAGATTGTGGATCTAATGAGTACTGCAATTTCTGTTTGCAGGCGGTAGAGAAAGCGGCGGGGATGGATGGTCAGAAGATAACATACAGTCTTATCAAGCATCGTCTGGGAGATCTCTTTTATCGATTAGTGTAAGTTAAAGCTTTCTGTTGGAAAAAGGTTCGCCGAAGAAAAAAAAAAGAATAATGCTCAAATATCTAAAAAAAACTTTCTTTTTAAGGATGCTGTGCTTTTGGCAAAAAACGAAAAAAAATAAGCTGTGCTTAATTGATCAATTTGTTGACATCACAGGTCACAAAAATTCGAAGATCCAGCAGAAGGAGAAGAAGCTCTCGTGGCAAAATTCAAAAAACTTAACGAGGACCTGGCGGCTGGTTTCCGTGCATTAGAGGATGAGACTAGGTGAACGGAAGTTTAAAAGATTGGACGCTTTCCCCGACCTAGTCCAGGTTTGAATTGTTGGGGATAAAATCACTAGGGCTTTCTCTCTGAGTGTACCAAAATTATATCTTGGTAGATGGATGTTGTGCCGGCGCTGTAGCTTTTGTTGGCCTGAATTCTAGACTGCTACATAGCTTTGAATTCATTATGTATTATTGTCTGCCCTTCCGTTTTTTATTTATGTATCATGCAATAAGATGTATATTTTTCCTTTCATTTTGGGTGGGAAAATAATACTAATATAATAAGCTCTGTATTCAGTATTAATGTATCATGCGCTTATTGCCTTTATTAATAAGAAGTTAATATGCCATTTTTCCTTCTCCGGTTCTTTAGGCTTTAGGTTTTCTTCGTGCCTTTGGAATAAACTTTTGGTCAAAATATAAAATTGAAAAATAACAGGAACGAAACTGTCAACATTGAAAACTCGGAGTCCTAAAAATATTAAAGATATATATATATATATATATATATATATATTTATATATTACAAAGAAAGTAATAGTTTAAAGATGAAAAAAGATGTTGAGATTTAAAATTTTAATTTATTAAATCTTACGTTTTAAATAATTGTATAAATTAATTAAATTAATTTTTCGTTTCATAAATTATTTTGTAAATCTGCTTGTGTTCTTGAAACAACAATCGGAAAAATGTCTTCTACAAGGCAAGTAATTCAAAAAAATATGAATGCCAACTAATTTCAGTCAGCAAATCTAGACTGTTATCTCATTATGCTAGTTACTCTTTTCAATCAGGGGTAATAATCTCATGCTAAAAGTTTATAAAACCCCCTTCATTCATCTTGATTTTCAACTAACGATGAGTTCTTCATTCTTTTATTAGTTTTTTTGTTTGGGCAAGTCGTTCACTAATCTTTTCATGTAGGAATTTGAGTAAGCCTTGAAATGCAGCCTCTACATTGGAGCTCTTAATCAACTCCCCTGCAACTTCTGCAGGACTGACATTCACCTCCTCCAACAGCCTTCCAATCTGTTGGAAAGCACCATGATCCCTAATCCCCAAATAGTTAAAGGCAAGTTGCTTGAATACAGAAGAGTTGCAGTATGACATGTGAATATGCATGTCCATACGACCAGGTCTCAGCGCAGCTGGGTTTAATCGTTCTTTATGATTGGTTGTGAAGATTATGATGCGTTCTTCTCCACAACTTGACCAAAGGCCATCTATGAAATTCAGGAGCCCTTAAACTGTCACCTGTTGAAAATAAAACATGATCGATATTTACTGAACATGAAGAACATGGTTTGTTTCAGTCAACTGATCGCATCTTTTATATTTGTACTAACCTGATTGTCACCTTGATTTCTCCGATGTTCATTCTCCGATTCTCGATTTTCTAGCTTGATAAAGCAATCGATATCCTCAACGACTAGTATGATTGGCTAGGCATTGCGAGCAACAAAAATCGAAGATCTGAGCTGGTTTGGACATCAGTCAGATCCAAGTCATCGATGTCAAATTTTAGGTGATTAGCCATTACCGCTATCAAACTTGACTTGCCTGTCCCTGGAGGACCTGCAGTAAGTATCCACGTTTCCAAGCTTTTCCCACTCTTTGGTAGTATTCTTCTCCATTGATAAAGTTTTCAAGATCCTCCATCACTGCCTTTTTCAGCTCCAAATCCATAGCAGTGTCTTGAATGTCATTGGGTGTTTAAATTTGACCTCATTCACATCCCCCCGCCTTCTATAATAAACTGTGTGGAGATTTATTGCTTTATTCTCTTCTCTGATCGACTTTGCTCTTTGCAAAATGTATGGCAAGTATGAATTCAGCACTCTTTATCTTTATTTTTCTTGTGAAAACGTAGCTCATATCGTCTAACTTCGGACCTTAGAGATGCATTAAGATCACCCTGGCTTGGTTTCAGAAAATGCACGGATTGAACCTGTGTACAGACCAATTTCCACTTCATCTCCACATTTTCATAAACATCAACCAGTATTCCATCTCTATCTATGGATAGAGACAAATTATTTTCCTTCTCACTTTTGCCTACCTTGAGTCTTTGAATCGAGGGGGTTGTTTTGCTGCCCAAGTATAAATCAGCAGCTTCAAACACTTGGTTTAAGGCTAGCCCTTTGAATTCTTCTATAACAATTGTCAGTTGAGACGAGAAATGGTGGGATAGATTCTGTAAGCTGAAGGAGAAGTAGTTCCGGATTTCTGCTGGAATAAAATCATTGGCAATGGTTCGAATGACCATTGCTGTGACTGCTATAGAGGCTGCTGTGGATAGAAGGCTCGTAGCTTTGATCTGTTTCCTGTGAGACAACATATTTGAGAAATGTGAAGTTGAAAAATGTATAGTTTGTTAAAAGTCTTTGTGTTGGTAAAAGGTTTTCAGGATATGATTGTAATGATGCCTTCCATCTGAGAGGCCTCATGAGATTTATAGGTGTTTTACGGGACATTTCAGAGGAGGCCATAACATACTTAATTTGGACCTTGACATTTTCAATCCTTCTTTCCCAAGGTCCTGAAATTTGCAGACTTGTCTGTCAAATTTACTTTTGGAGAGACTATAGAAAAAGAAATTTCTTTGTCATACAGGTCTTAATAGAAGTTTCAAAGAGGTTTTTCTTTTTTTTTTTTTTTTTTTTTCATATTTTCATATTAATTGAAGATATTAAGAACATAAAAATCCATCCTAGTCAGGCAGTCGACTAGCAACGCATGCCCTATATATTTTCATATTTTCATATTCGTCAGTTAAATTTTCGGATGACACACAAAGATGATGTTTTGAAACCTTTGGAAACAACAATTTCTACAAATGGCTGATGTCTTGCTTTCAATTTTGTAAGAGTTAATTGCATCAGTTCATCCTAGATAACACTGTAACTGTCATATAGACTACAGAAACTGTGATAGCAACTACAAATTAAATGCATAATCTGCTACATACCTTCAGCAACCTCCATCAAAACAAAGCAGTTCTCTGTTGTTGAGTACATAACACATACAAGTTCCAACTGAATCTCCTTGATGTTGCGTGAATTAACCAGGGCCAACTTTAGGAATGTCATAATGCTCACTCATGTTTGCCAGATATTGGTCGAAGTCCTGAATTCTATCAAGGTGAGATTTATTAGCTTGGTTATTCAATCTATGGACATCAAGTTGCTCCCTCTGCTAAAATGTATCGTCTCCCTGCAGGATTGAGATGATCATCATAATGAGCATCCTTCCTCTCCCCACTTGATTTGTCAGTTTCATTATTATCTTCTTCATTGGGATCAATAGAAACTTCTGCACTTCCACCTACATCAAGTATTGGCTAAAATTATGAAGTCTAGAAACAATTATGATACACTAAAACTAATAATGGTGACACAGAAGCAGGTTTAACCAAATAAATTAACAGTAAATAACAAGATAGAAACAGGTTGATTCCAAACTGAACTCTGTCTTTTTTCTTTTATAATAAAAATGCTAGTCCAACCTAAATCCAATCAAGAGCAACAAAATACGGATGCAGCCATACGGATTTGGATGTCTAAGTTAATGTAATCCTGACACAAAGTCATTAAACTATCACCTACTTTCTAAACAGTCATTAAATTTTAATTTATTACTACTAAGTCACTAAAATTTATTAAGTGTACCAAATTTGATCATTTTAATAAATTTCATTCAAAATAAAAGTTAAATAAATTTTAAATATATAACAAAAAATCCTCTCATATCCAACAGAAAATAAAAAAAGTAAACCCACATCACCTTTAATACATATTTATTTTTTTTGAAGTATTATTGTTTTTATTTAAATTAAAGAGCATAAATATTTAAATAAATATTAATGCTTTGAATTTACCTTTTTTTTTTAAATTTTTTGTGGGATATGAGAGGATTTTTCATTTTTAGTTACATAGAAAATTTGCATATTGTTTGGTTGAGTTCAATATTTAGCTTTTATCTAACTTTTATTTTGGATGAAATTTATTAGAATGAAAAAATTTGATACGCTTAAAAAATTTTAATAACTTTGTAATAACAAATTAAAATTCAATGACCTATATAAAAATTAGATAAAAGTTTAATGACTTTTAATGTAATTATATGGATTTAATTAGCCAATATAGCTGATTATATGACAGCTATATTATTTTTTCTTAAAATTTAAATAGAATCTATTAGGCTGATCAGTTTTGATATATTTAATAAACTTTAGTGATTTGGATTGAAAAAATTAAAATTCAGTTACTCAAACGAGATTTAAGTACAAGTTGAGTGACTTATTATGAAATTTACCCTCATTCACTTTAATTTCACTTGCAATATTAAAAAATTTCATCCTTCCAATATAAAATAATAAATCAAAGGGGGACAAAAAGTATCCAAATACAATTAAACTTCATTTTCGATTGAAGATTGGCCATTTGAGCAGCACAACAATAATAAAAGATAAAATCATTCTCATCTCTCATCCACTTAAACCTTAAAATCATATAAATATTTACCTTAACAATGAGATTTAAAAGGTTTATATGTGCATCAAACATGGAACATGTTAGTTCATTCCTTCTTTCCCAAGACTTATGAGGTATCATAGGATTCATTGTAGCACCATTTACCATGCTGAAGCAAACAGCATCTTCCCTAGCTTATGGCTGACAGGAGAAAGCTGGACAGCATAAACATGAAGCAACCAAAGCGTCTAATCCTGCATTTTGCAAAACTTACAAGAAACCCCAAGCTGTCTAGAAAGTGCTGGCATTTGTAAGATAATGTTTACATTGCATTTTCAAGTTCAACCAAATGGTATACAAATGCCGAGTAAATTCAAAGTGAGTTGCAGCTTCATTTGCGAAACATCTCTTAGTGAATTCCAGGAATGATCTTGTAGGGAACCTTGCTGCAGTATAGTTTCCAGTATTTACCATATCTGAAAAGTAGGATCTTGTCAGAACCTTATTCAACTTCACTTTTCAGACAATAGATTACGATTGTCTTTTTTTTTTTTTTTCTTGACCTCTTACTTTCCTACATGAGTGTGTACATGCTCGTGCATGGTGTTTTTCCAACAAATATGGACATGCATGAATGACCTATTACTTCCAAAACCCCCTGAAATCACACCCATTTTACAAGATCCAAAACCAATTAGCTAAATTTGATATGTTCGAATGGTTCCCAAGCTACATTATCCCTTAGTTTGGTTTCACGCATTATCCCTGACTGGGATAACAATTTCAGAAGATAAAAGTGAATGTTTCTCGTTAAAATGGGTCATGCCCTGTATGAAGCATCCAAAATCTAAAACCAATTGCTCCACATCTCACTCCAGATTTGAAGTATGTGGGATACAGTCACTTGACAATCTAGACAAGAGACAAGGTATTGTATTGGGAAAAATGAAGTAATAAAAACACCGAAAAGATATTTGCTCAAACTGATAACAGTCTAGGTAAAACACAGTTAATATTACTTACTTGGATCGACACCTGTCATCATCCCTTTTGGCTCGGTCAAATAAGAGGATGGTAAGAAACACCACATAGAAGTATGGTAGAAGCTGAAGAATACCAAAAGCAATAAAAATTTCAGATCCAGTTACAAGTAGCTCCAAGTAGTATACTTAAAAGAATTAGGAACAAACTTACATGGTTGAACAGAGCAGGAACAGTCCAGAAAAATGCAGCTAATATTTCTGGCACATAATGGAAATGACGAGACAAACTCCACCTGCAAAAACCATGATATAAAGTAATGTTACTGTTGTTATGACGCCAGATTCCCAGCACAAAATCATTTCCTATGAAAGGCCACTCAGCTCCAGTTAAGCTTGTACATGCTTCTTTAGCCAGTAAATATCTTCACAAGATTTTTTATATTTGTCAATTTTGAACCTCATAATGATATATTAAAGTTTAGTAAAATGACATCTATCAGCTGAGTGCAATCTTACTGCCTTGTACACCATAAAAACAAGTCCTAGCAGAGAAAGCAAGTGATTCTATTCTATATGCTGGTCTACACAAATTTCATATTCACAGTAGGAAAACTCACCATCCTGATGTTAAAAGAAGGCTAGTTTTGGTTTCCCCAGATGTTGTTGTGTAGGTGGCCTCAATCTGTAGAAAAGACCAGGCAGGGTCAGACCTGCTTTTGAACACCTATGTCCAATTTTTTGAAAAAGAAAATAGAGATAAAAAGCCATAAGACAAGCACCTTCGATGGAGCTTTCCCCCAGACTATGCATTTGCCATTTGTTCTGCGAAATTCTTGTCTTTGCCTATCACAATCATAGTTGATATATATGCAAAGAATGCCTGCGACAAGGATATAAAGTGCAAGCTGGCAAAATAAAGCAGATTATTAGAAATAAGAAAAATGGAAATCGCACTAACCAAAGCTTTTCTTTGACCAGTGTTATGCTCATCAAACTAGGTTAATTTTCAGTGTAAAAACAGGTTTGATTTGCAAATACATTTTTGATGTCCATCTTTTTTCCCTTTGGACTATGATTAGCTCTATGGAATTATCAAACTCTTCTAGATCTTGGACAACTGGAACTTACTCCCGAAAATTCTTATTAGACTTAATTTGATTAATTCACCAATTTAATTGATCCAACATTCAAAACAAACTGCTTGTTGCATTTTGAAAATGAATTATTCAACAGAATACCTTTTCCATTGAAAAGTTTATGTTTGAATCAATGAAAATACGTTTAGTGAATTACTTCTACAACCCATACTATTAACTACCGTAAAAGCTAAAATCGAGCTTTTAGGAGCTGGGAAGCTGAAGCTCCAAATCAGAGTTACTGTAAAATGCAGATAGACAGTTTTAATAAATTTTTAAATAGACAAAATATTCTAAATTATTTCAATATTGTTTTGAGATATTTCAAACAATTGCAATTTAACAGCACATTTTGAAAGCTCTACTTCAACAGCTGTTTTTTCTCACAGCTCCAGCCTGGGCCAAATAGGCTGTCTGAGAAAGATGCAGCTTACAATCAGTTTGAATCTTGACAACTTTACAAACTTTCAATGCTTTTATATTTCAAAAAAAGAAAAACTTTCAATGTTTTACATAAATTAGGGTTTAGGGTTTCATATGCCGATGATATTGTTGACCACAAACATAAAAATGAAAAAAGGATGGTTAACAGTATATAATTCATAATTTTTTATGAGATGCAATAACATACCTGTGTTCCAAGGTTCACAGGATGGTTGACAAGGTACATCCCAGGTGATGTGTAGACAGATGGAACCCAAACCAAGCATCCCCAACAAATATAGAACCCAGCTGCCAAAACCAAGATATATGAATCAAGACATGGTAGGTCTTAAAAAAATATTTCAGTTATCAAAAATTAAAAATCTGAAGAACCCTGGAAACTTTAATGGCTCAGAATTTATAGTTCAGTTTCAGGATTGGCTCAGAATTTATAGTTCAGTTTCAGGTTTGGCTCAAAATAAACCAGTAAAACTACACCAGGCCGATATCTATTACTGCTTACGGATGATGCTTAATTGGGTGGAACATCAAAACCACATGCTACAACCTTTCATGGTGTGGCACAGATACATAAATTCATATGCATACACATATGAGCTTTGAATACATGCTTTTATAGTCACATAAAGGTACATGTTTTATCTTAAAAATTCTAAAAATTCTAAGCAGAGAATTTTTAATCTCATAAACTTCCTGGGTCATCTCACTTCTTTCCCTCTCTCCACTGCCCCCTCCCTTCCAAGTGAGCAATTTTATTAAATCCGAATGATACAATAAAACAATGAATAAGCCCCTGAATTTTTACACTTTTCTTGAATAAGCCATTATTCTTTTGTTGTACCCAAATAAGCCTTTGTCAATGATTGATACCTAGATAGGCCCTTGTGTTTATGGAAAGATGTCATATATATCATGTGACCTTAATGACAACTAGGATCATGACAAGCTGGCATCTTTAGCACACATGGAAGCTGATTTGCATTTTAGACGTAGCTAAATTGATTGAGTGTAAAAAATTACTGCCCCAGACATGATCATTCCAATCAACCAATTTTTCCATGTTAAAAAAGCCATGTAATCCGCCACGAGTTGAAAGGATGCCAGCCACCATGTGTGTCACGTGGCATCTTTCTGTCAATAGAAGGGCTTATCTGAGTAAAAATCATAAAACAGGAGCTTATTGGATACAGTAAAAATAGGAGCTTTGTGGAAATTTAGGATAGTTCAGGAGCTTATTTAATATTTTAGCCAACAAATGAACAATAAACAAGACTTGGAGAAAGAATAGGAGTGTAAACCTCGATCATGTGCAATGTCCATTGTGTTCCAATAACCAGCCTCCCACCAAAAGAACTTTGTAACATACACCAGCATCAATGTTGTATTCACAAGCATGGAATCAGAAACTTTTCCATTGACTTCATACTGATACAAATTAAAAAAGGGCTGATATTAAAGATAGCATCTAAAATATTATTTTCTTAAATATAGAAGACTTCAATTTAGTTTATTATAATTCAAAGCAAAATGAAACCAATTGCTGCTATGAAGAAAACACCATTTTAACCTACATCCCACAAGCTAGACAATCTAGTTAAAAATTAGTATAATTCAAAAGCTAAACAGCTAAATCAAGGTACCTGAGACATGTATGTAACTAGGTAACCACCAGCTAAGGCATTAAATCTAAAATTTGACACCTGATTTTGTAACAAGTACAAGCAACTAGGTCAGGTATAAGTGCCCTCTCTAGCAAGTAATCGCCTATTTTGACAGAAAGTTAAAACCTACCCAAATCTGTTAATGCTCTGCCATAATAGCTTTGAAAACTAACGAAAATGATGTACCTGACATTTTGTACATTAGAAGATGAGAAGGCAGAGAGGGTTAACAAAGTTATATGCTTTTATTTCCCTGTGCACAACCTCTTCAAGTTGTCTAACCTAACTGGCATCTGGTTCCAACGCTTAACCTTTGTGTAGGTAAAACCAACCTAAACTATTGAAATAGACCTAAACTTCAGAGGACATCATTTTTTGTTTTGAAAAAAGTTAAAGAGGCCTAGCAGTATGGGACCTTAGAGAACATTTGTTTACCATATCCCCACTTGCAATAATTAACCACCAACAGCTACCTGCTTTATGCAATAGGTGACAGCGAGAACTGCCCAAGACATCATCCCAAATCTGCAATTTGTAAAGACTTTAATGTCAAAGTTTTTGCCAATTCGTGGATACAGTTCCATACCCTGCAACAAGAAGACCATAAAAAATGAGGACCAACTCAACACTTTATGCTCGCCACATGCATCATAGGAATGCATTCTCAAAGTTACATTGCATAATTCTCCCTATGTGCTTGATTTTCAAGAATCTGCAGCTAATTGTAGATTACTTTCTTAGTCTCTCTTTCTTCATTTTAGGAAAAGCTGATAGAGGATTTTACTGTTTGGGTTTGTTTTTGAGGTCTCATTTTTTCACAATATTCTACTATTCTAACAAATACACACACACACACACACACACATACATAATAATCGATATATTTTGCATGTCAACATATGTAGGTTTATAGCACGTAATGCAAGATTTTCAGCTTCTTATCTTAAATATGAGATGACACTAATTATTTGAAGCTCATATATAGCACCAGAAGTCCTAGCCCCGATAATAGTTTGTAGATTTCTAAAACAAATAGGTCAGAAGGTTTGAATTTCAGCTAGATGTCAATTACATGCCTTCAAACTTCTGAACCCCAGCCTTCAAAGCACACCAACACACTTTCATTGTATAATCAACTAAAAACATCAACCTGTATCTTCCGAGGCAATGTTTCCATGTTTTCGGTTCTACTTCACCCATACCTTTCAAAGCTCAGAAAGGAACTTTAAAAAATTTATTACACAAGCCAATGTAAATATCAAAGTTCACAGATGCTTACCCAATAGAAATCAATTATTAAGTTCCCAGATGACCCAGAATCGGTAGAAGAAGGTGCCACATGACCCTGTAAGCATAAAACTTAGTGCCAGAGTTATGAATTGGAGTGTTAACTTGTGAAAAACTTACATCAACCTAACTTATTTCCTCACTTTAATGTATAAGAAAATACAAAAGACCAAGCTTCCAAAGATGAGTGCTGAAAATATTTCTCCCAAATGATCATAAACAACCGTGGGGTTGAATATCCCAAACCTGGGGAATGAAAATTGGAAGAGGGATTAATGTTGCTTGAAAGTTAAGTCAATCAAAAACCAGAAACAGAAAACGAATGTATTCTGAAAAATAAGATCCAAGGAATGCTAAAATTATCAATTAAATTTCCATTTGATAAATTTCCGATGAACAAATAGGAACTTCACACCAGAATACTGCAAGTGTTAATAGCAGTTAAATACAACAAAAATCATAAGTGTACTTCAGACTAAGATTAGAAGCTGGAACATGGCATCAGAACAGTTGGCTCAATGGCAGAGGCATGCATCCCCCTGCTCAAAGAGCTGGGTTCCAAATCCCCCCACCCCTCCCCCCTCTTCCCCAAATCAATAAAAGAAGTTGGAATATGGAATAAAAAACAAGACGTTGTTTCCCAAATGATAGCAGGGCCTCTAATTGCATTTCTAGTTTTCCTTTTCCTACTTCCTATGGCCAATGAATAGAGAGTTCAGTATACTTCTTCAAGCAAAGAAAAGAAATTCAACAACTGCATCTCATTTGCTAAAGGTAAAGAGTGAAGTCTCACCACCAAAGACTAATATAGGTAACCAATGTTACAAAATATGCTGCCATACCATTTGCCTGCAAAATTGATAAAATGAAGCCTATAATTTATGCAATAAAATAGTTATACACATTATGGTTTAAGCGTTCATAATTCCACTTTGGCGATATAAAATGGTAAAAAAAGATTACCAAAACGATCACCAAGCATATAGGAGGGGATGCAAAAGAATTGATAAGCATTTCCCTAAAACAACACCAAGTAACTCAAACCTTGTAAGCAGGTTGGTTCCCCGTGGGAGATATTGGGCCCTCAATCCTCTTGCCAGGGACAAATAGTTGAAGTGCTGCCTCAAACACTCCATAAACGAAAATTATTTTCCAAGCAGTGGCGGTGGGTCTTGGCCATATTTCTATAAAACCTTGCAGTCCATGCTGCTTGAGAAAATTCCAAGTTTGGGAAACAGACCCATCAGCATGTACCATTGTATACCATCTGTACGTAGTAAAAAAACACTTTCAATATGCACTGCAGAAGAAAACTGCAATAATTTTTGCAAAAACAAGGAAGAACTCAATTATGCAGCCACAGAAGAACTTTACATGCCTAAAACTATGGTAAAAGCTGAATGTTCCATTGTGCTTGTAGAAATCAGAGCATTCGTTTTCCGATAGCACTAAAATGGTCCAGTGGATTTTCATTAGACTTGCTCAAGTAGAACATAATAATAAATTCCAAATTTTAACCTGAAACCTACTCCATACTGTTACTTATGTTTGCATATATTCTTGATAAAGTAAAGCTTGTTCTATGTTGGTTGTATGGTGGAGTAAAACTATTATTGAGGGAGCAAATACTCCAGTGAGAGGAAAATTTGATGTCCGGTGGGAAGGCAAATGTAGTGCCCACCTATATGGACATGCAACGTCTGCATTCACATATATAAGAGTTTATTTCCTCTTTCTGAGCCCCCCTCCCCCCAACCAAAAAAAAGTATACATGCAAATGTCTGCATTCACATATATAAGAGTTTATTTCCTCTTCCAAACCCCCCTTCCCCCCACCCAAAAAAGTATGTTTCCTCTCATCTCATGATTTACATGCCAAATACCTTAGTGTGCCAATAAGAATTTAAGTATAAACAAATTATAACTTTTCACATTCAACCCAGATGAGTTATAAACAATTTTTAAATTTTCACATTCAACCCAGTTGAGTGGATGAAAAATATTCCCCAATTATCAACTATTAAATAAAATTGTAACCATTTTTTAAAAATTTTTCTTCAGCCTTTTTTTTTTACATTTCTCAGAAACCAAACAAAGTTTCAAACTTTGAGCACCCTTTTTCTTCTTAACGTTTTCAGGACCCAAACGGGAACAAAAAGAAGAGGCTTCATTTAAGAACAATCATTCAAAACTTCAACAAATATACGAATTACTATAACTATCAATAAAACATACAAAACCAAGCATCAATAATCACAATATAAAGATATATTAAATCTATAAATTTCACATTTCACAGAATTTTTCCAAGTAAAAGAAACCCTTCATAGGAAAGTTTCTGTTCCCTTCAAACAAACAGGAAAAACAATGATTGACTTCAACAAAAGAGAAATCAAAGTGAATGAAGCATATGACTTACACATAAATAAACCAAGGAGAGCAGAGAGAAAAGCTTGAAACACTATGTCACCAGTGCTGAATGAATGAACTGGCTTTGTTTCCATCAACCCCACAAAGAATTCAATAATGAACTAAAAAAAAGATAACTTTCTTGATCTTAATGCTTCTTAATTTCTTGATCTTAATGCTTCTTAAATACTACTAACAACGATCAGCAACAATCTGTGGGAGTTTCAATAAGATCTAAAAACTTATTATATTTTGACTTAATATTTTTAAGATTTGGTTTTGATTACCATTTCTCTTCATCTAAATTGAGTTACATGAATGAATAAGTCATTAAAATTGAAAATCTGAAATGGGTTTTTACATCATAACAGGACTTTTGATTCCTGGAATTAGATTCTCAGAAAAAACTCAAAAACAAAAAGAAAAGAAATAAAAAGATTTGAGAGTGTTGGGGTTTTGCTTACAGTAAGATAACAAAAGGAGGGCAAAGGGAGAGAAGTGATAGCATTGAAACATATGTAACCACTGCTGAATGAACTGTCTTTGCTTCTGTTGCTGCTGCCATTTTTCTTTTCCTCCCACTCTCTCCTATCTTTTGGTCTATTTAGTACTGATAAATGTCTCAGGTCTGTGTCTGTGAATGAAGTCACTGAACTGCTCTTTTGCATCTGAAACTGAGACCCATGTGGCTGTTCCCTGGTCCTTACTAGGAAAATTGGTTTTTATTTTAGATTTTTTTTTACTTTTGTCAAATGAAATCCTAAATTTTTATTTTTACATTGAGAAATGAAAATATTCAAATTTAACTTTTTGATTTATCATGATTGTGACAAGTGTTCAAACTTCCTTTTTTTTTTTTTTTAAAATTTTTAATTTTACTATATAAGTTACCCATTGCTTTTAATATAATGTACATTTGAGATTAATATCAAGGTGGCATTATTAACAACATTTGAAAACTCAAATTACTTATGATTAAGACCAAAATTATTGATAACATGTAAAGCTTTACTTGAACATATAATTAAATAATTAACATATGAATTTTCCATTAAAATAATTATTTTTTACAATAAAAGAATTAGAATCGAATAAAAAGTGAACCAAAATTACTATTGATCTATATTCTCATAAAAAATATTTTTTTGTGCCTTATTTTTTCATTTTTTTAAGCATTCCAAAATTATATGTTTCTTTAACATTTAAAATAATATTTTATTTTATTTATAATTTTAAAAATTATAAAATATCAATTTTATGAAAAATATTAATAGTTTAACATAAATATATTATTTTTTCTTAAATTTCGTAAAATTAAACATAAACATCCATAACAAAGAAAAAAATATAGTATTGTATAATTAGATAAAGAAATAAAATTAGTTGTGGCTAAGAATGACGGTCTTATTAGTACTTGATCGTTTCAAATTCGATCCAATCTCTTAAATTTGTTTTTTTTTTCAATTACATTTCAAGTTCGGATAACAATAAAAAAAATTTGATTTTGAGTCAAGATCATATTTTAGATAAACTTGTCCTGATATATATATATATATATATAATTATTTTTTATTAATTATTTAATTTTATATTATATATTAATTTAATTTTATATTTATATTTAAAAAATAATATTTTATTAATTTTAAATCAGATTAAATCAAATATGATTTTATATAATATTAGATCAAATTTATATTTAAATATTAAAAAATAAAAAAATATCTAATTTAATTAAATTTAATTATTTAAAATATAAAATTAAATCAAATTCAAAATGAGTAAAATTCGCTCTAACACGACCCATTGTCATTTTTAATTGCGGTAATCCCTGAATAAACCCTCAGCCTAACTGCAGTAATATTAAGTTTGGCAAAATTGCCTTTCTCGCAAAGTATCAATTGTTTAATTGAACTAGTTTTAATCCCGTCGTAAACAGGAATAATAAATCTATAAGAATACTTTTAATTAATTGGTTAAAAATTAATAAGCATTTATTAATTGCCTTGTCATCACTAAAAAAAAAAAAGTATATGTCGTAGTGGCATGTTCATGAATTTAATAGTTATATATAAAAATAAAAGAATTATCATTGTCATAATAATTCTGAAATTGTTAAACGAATTTTTAAAAAAAAATTTCATTAATCTTTTTTTATTATATGTAATTAATTATTTATTAAAAAATTAATTAAAATTTTTTTAAAAAAAATTTTTGAGTTTATAAAAACAGTTTAGATTTGAGAGTACAATAACATGTGAGAAAGAATTGGTACTCTCACAATAATCATTTTTAAAATGGTACTAATTAATTTTGTATTATCTTTTAATCTTGATAAAAATTTTAATTTTGATATTTAAAAATAATTTTTTAATTCCCTTTATTTATCACAATTTTAATTTTTTAATTTTTTTTGTTTCTTCACAAAATTTTTCTTTTTTATTTTTTAAAAAATTATTATTTCATATTCATTTGAAAAAGTAAATTGAAATTTTATTATTGAAAAATCCTTAAAATATTTCAATATGTTAGTAACATTAAAAAAAATTTACTTAGAGATCTCTTAAGAACCACTATTTGAAATCCTTTAAAATCTCATCCTAAAAGGCTTGTGTGTTTTTTTTTTTTATTAATGCAGATAATATCTATGCATCATTATATGTAACTTTGTTCCTAAAAAAAACTCTTTTCATTTATTTGTCTTCCTTTTTTTTAATTAAAATAATAATAATAATAATAATAATAATAATAATAATAATAATAATAAGCAAATGAAAATTAATTTGTATTGAATATTTTTCTAAATACTTTTATACTTTGGTAGCATTTTGAAAAATATCATCACTTAAAGATTTTTAAGAAATCACTATTCGAATTTTCTTAATATCTCATCTTCAAAAATATTTTTATTTTTTATTAGTTTTTTAAACACTTGTTTCATGTATATTTATTTTAAAAGTTTAAAATGTAAATATGCATAAATAAACAAATAAATAATTTAGCAAAAATATAAATAATAAATTAATTAATTAATTAAAAAGATTGGTCAAGCCAATCAATGGTTCGATGGTGTTTCAAATGATTCAAGTGCAATTCAAGCAATTTAGGTGCAATTCATGCGATTTAGCAGGTGGTTCAAGAATGGTTCAGTCGAATCAGTTTAGGGTTGTTAGCAGATTCTAACCGCAACTAGAGCATGCAAACCCTGGGTTTGGTCTGGATCCACGTACATGTTGGTTGGATTTATTTTTTTACTATAAAATCTTGTTCGAAAGATTTAGAAACTATGTCGGAGGTCTTGTAAATCTCAACATTCAAACAGATTCAATTCAAAAGACTTACAAATCTTGTCCGAAAGAATTAGAGACTATATCTGAATGTTTTACAAATCTTGACACTAAAATATATTCAACTCAAAAGACTTATGAATCTTATTTGAGGACTTAAAAATTATGCCTGAAGGTCTTACAAACTTTGATATCTATAAATGTTCCTCTAAACAGAGGCTCCACAACTTTAAAATCTTATCTAAAAAGGCTTCTTTAATCAAATGTATTGAAACTTTAAAAATCTCATCTAAAAAAAGCTCCTCTAATAAGAGGCGTTGAAACAGTTGAAATCTTATCTAAACCAACAACTTAAAAATTCTCATATAAAGAGACAAAAATTCATTCAAAGATTCACATATAAAAGATAAAAAATCACGATTAAAAGTTTTCAAGATTACATTGAAAATTTCAAAGATTCATATAAAAATTTTCAAGATTCACACCAAAATGCTAGAAATTCACATCGAAAGGTTCTCGAGATTTCTATTGAGAATTGTATCATAAGTTTTCAAGATTCACATTGAAGGTT